TTAGATAGATAAAGTTAGATAATGAATAAAGAAAGAAAGAAAGATAGATAAATGAATAAAGATTAGAGAGGGATAATGAATACACAAATAGATAATGAATATAGACTTAAAGAGGTCATAGATAGATAGATAGATAGATAGATAGATAGATAATGAATGGACTTAATAAAGACAGATAATGAATAAATTTTTGAATGTATAGATATATAGCCTAATAAATAAATATAGATAGATAGTTCATGAATAGCCTTAGTCTAATAAATAAATAAATAAAGATAGATAAATAGATAAACTTGGATAGACAGATAATGAATAAAGTAGATATACATAATATTTGTATATATATGCATATGACAAATATATGACACGACTGTCTTAAGGAAAATTTCAAAGAATAATACATTTTTACAAGAATTTTCATACGTTTTAATTTTAATTATAATAATTTTTAGATCTTTTAAAATTCTGTATTAAACTGTAGCGATTACATTTTTTATTAAGTAATAACTATATTTATCAATCATAAATAGAAACGCTTCCCACCCCATATTTTAAAAAGAATTTTTTTTTCTTTGTGCCTCTGTATATAAACGTGCCAATTTTTGTAAATACGGACGCCCATACACAACATTATCAGAAAATAATAGCAGTAAGTAAAGTAAATTTAAAATTTATTCCTAATTTTCTAACTTTTCCTCCACAAACGTCTTCCTAAGTAAGAATATAAAACCTAAGTTTCAAAATTCAATAAACAATTAGATTACTTTTAAGATTTTTAAGATTACTGAGTAGTTAAAAAAAATTATATAAAAAAAGGCTTCACATTATATTCGTCAAGTAATTTTTATAGTTATGTACATTTAGGTATATATATATATATATATATATATATATATATATATATATATATATATATATATATATATATATTCCAAGATTTTCTAAAAAGTAAGATTTCTAAAATAATTACATTCATCTGTAAATAAATCCTGAAAGTTTCATTAAAATCCGACAATTATTTGATTTTTGCAAGAATTTACAAATCCATTTGATTTTTTTAGCAAAAAAAATCGCTGAAATTTGAAATTTCTTACTAATTTATGGTCACCCGAATAACAAAATTTTTAACTAAAATTTCGTAACTTCTAAAAAGGATTAAGAAATATGATAAAAAAATCCTTTGATTTTTCCTTTTAATAATAACATAAAGATTTTGCCGATAATTCTTTTTTAAAGTTTGGAGCATTTTTTTCATCTTGGTATGCTCCTTTTTTAGCGAATCTTTTGAGCTACCTATGTTTAACTAACTCCTAGGTATTGGCTACAACCTTTCTTCACGAACTGAATACATTTCCATTTTCTATCTGTCACTCCATTTCGATTACACGCACGCCATCACACACACATAGCATTAATACAGCATAATTGCATATTAAGATTTTTGTTTGTTTTTCTGTATATTTTTCTTCATACTGTCGGATCTATATCCATATATTTGCTTACATACTGTCTACTGGAAATACAAACCTGAATTTACTTTATAACATGGAAGATTTCAAGCTTGTACGAAAATATAAGAATCTATTGATCAAGTAAGGAAAGGATTTATTAACGAACTGTTTTAAAATTGTTCCATCGTCTCTGTCTGATATTTTGAAATCATTTTTGATTGGCTTTGTAACGTGGAGGACTTCAAGCTTGTATGAAGTTATAAGAATCTATTGGTCTCTGCGTATTCCTATATCAACGGAAGGATTTCTTGAACTGTTTATATAAAATAGTTCAATCGACCTTTTTTAATATTTTGATATTTTGAAATCATCTTCGAATACGTTTTCACAACATCGCCCGCGTGACGACGACGTGATCATATTTAAACGGAACGCTGATCTTATATAAAAATTTCAGTTATCTGTTTGGATTAGTTGTGCTCTTATGTCCATCGTCTTTTCATGTTGAATTTTATATGTTCTAATGTTAATTATGTTTTATGAATATGTCTGATGATGGTAAAATGGACCGAAACGTCCGACGTTGACTTTATATTAACATTAATACAGCATAATTGCATATTAAAATTTTTTTTTGTTTTTTTCTGTATATTTTTCTTCACACATAAGAGTATTTAGCAATTTTTCATTTACGTAAATTTGACTGAAGAACGTTCTTAAAGTTTTTAAAAAAATCACAACCATGAAACGGCAACGTATGAGTGAATTTTAAAAAGAATCATTTCTACTAATTACGAATAAAGTTTTGCCTCATTTCATGATCATAATCTGAAAATTGTTGCAGGTTACTAAATTTTCTTGTTTTTATATATATATATATTTTAATTCATCTTATGTGTTTTCAATTAGTTTTGTCGGTCTGGACTCTGTGAAAACCAACCTAAACATTTATACACTTAGCCAGAATATATATTTCTGATGATAACATTCCTGTTCCATTTACTTGTTATCTGTCTCTATTTCTGAGATGAGGTAATTATTTACACTATTTACATTGTTCGGACTGTTGTCCTCATCTTTATTACCATATTCACCTTCAATATCTGTCTCTATTTCTGAGATGAGGTAATTATTTACACTATTTACATTGTTCGGACTGTTGTTCTCATCTTTATTGCAATATTCAACTTCAATATCTTTCTCTATTTCTGAGATGAGGTAATTATTGTTAATTATTTATTATTTACTTTTACAATTTACCATTGGGCCTATTTCTGAGTGGATAAAATTTACATTGTTGGTTGATTTTATTACCATAATTCAGTGTCTTGACTGAGAAGGTAAGTTCACTATTTAATACCTGTTGCATATTACAATAGCTGAGATGAGGTAATGAACACTAAAAACTTGTTTAGAGTTGAATTACTAAAGGAAATAACTGAGATGAGGTAATTATTTACACTATTGAGATATCGGAAAATTCATATTCAAAAATTTTATTTATCAGATGATTGTTTTTTATTTTTTTTATGGTGGTAGCTACTTGAAGTAAAATGACTACCCAAAGATTCAATACCTGGCGACTTCAGAACAAAAACCTATGTTGAATTCTGGAAGCCCCTGAGATATCTGTTCGTCTTAAGGTCCTCGACAGATCCAGAGACGGATATGCAATGTGATTGGCCCTGATCTGGCATCTCGTCTAAAGTCAGAGACGGATCTCTCACAGACGTGATCTGGCATCTCGTCGTTTCCGTCTGTTTTACCTACAAATACTTTTACGGTAACTGCTCCGACGACTGGGTTCTGTAGCCTTGGATGGCTACCGCAGAAAGAAATGGCAAACTAATGAGGGAAAAAATCTGCCTCTTGAGTCATGTATCGAAAGATACATGATCCCCTAAGCGTCTATCGCGCATGGCACATAACTAAATGACTGACTGAAATGTGGCGCTAAAAATAATTTAAATCTGTAATTTTGTATGCAAATGACTTTGTTTTTATCTCTGTTCCAAATAGTTTAAAGTTTTCAGATGGTCTATATAATTTTTAACTGAATAAATTCAAAAGTACTTGATATAATTTCTCATGAAAGTTTTATGTATTAATTTCATTTGATCTTGGGTTAAAAAAAACAAAAAAAAAACATTAAAAAATATTAATTTAACTTGATTTAGGGTAAAGAGCATTAAAAAAAATTCCCTGCAAAGCCTGGGAGGAAGGTAAAGGTGGAGACAAAATGAATATTACACTCAAGCCGCAAGGGTCTGTCTTTTCAGGCATAAACACTCCTAACATTCTGTGTGGGAGGACGCTCTTCCCAAATAGTTTTGATTAAGCTAAATATATAAACGTCCTCCTGCTTTTCCCTTATATATATATATATAAGCCGTTGGCACACGGCAGGGATGAAGGTGAATTTTAAGCGTATTTATTTTTAGATAAACACACAGTGACTGAGAGAACTCGATTCGATTTACCTAAGAATCTTGCATTATTAGCCATAATAGTCACTGTTTACAAACTCACACTTTCTTTCCCGAGAGCTTAAACGAAATAAATTTTTCAGAAGCATATATATATTGTCATCCACAGATAGACTGTTTCGTTGTATCACAGCTCGTGTGGCTAGACTTCCGGTTGCCTCTAGCTAGGATCGAACCCAGGCTGAATTGGCGTCAGTTGGGAATTCTACCCCTAAGCCGTTGGCGCACGGCAGGGATGAAGGTGAATTTTAAGCGTATTTATTTTTAGATAAACACACAGTGACTGAGAGAACTCAATTCGCTTTAACGAAGAATCTTGCATTATTAACCGTAACAGTCACTGTTTACAAACTCATACTTCCTCCCCAGAGAGCTTAACCGAAATAAATTTTTCAGGAGCATATATATTGTCATCCAAAGATAGACTGTTTTGTTGTATCACAGCTCATCAGTGTGGCTAGACTTCCGGTTGCCTCTAGATAGGATCGAAACCAGGCTGAATTGGCGTCAGTCGGAAATTCTACATCTAAGTAATTGGCGCACAGCAAGGATGAAGGTAAATTTAAGCGTATTTATTTTGGGATAAACACACAGTGACTATATATATATACATATATTTCGAATTGATCCTATCTAGAGGCAACATGGAAGTCTAGCCACACTGATGAGCTGTGATACAACGAAACAGTCTATCTGTGGATGACAATATATATGCTCCTGAAAAAATTTATTTCGGTTAAGCTCTCTGGGAGGAAGTATGAGTTTGTAAACAGTGACTGTTACGGTTAATATATATATATATATATATATATATATATATATATATATATATATATATATATATATATATTCCGATTCCTCAATCCGAGCCGCTATCCATTACTCCACCGTGCCTCCTCAATCCAGTCGGGTCCATTACTTTCACTTAGGTGCTAATACTCTTCTCCCCCCCAGCCAGCTATGCGTTAATAGCAGGGCAGATTATGTTCTATAGTCTTGGGTGGCAATTGGCCTAGGAGAAGGAAAACTCTGAATTCAAACCCGGCCTGGAGATAGGGGTTCTGGAGCCATGCAAGCAACCTATCTAGGAGAAGGTCAATCCGAAATATAACCTCCATCCTTGCATGTCGCTTATCTCGTGGCAGCCTTTGCATAAAGCAGATGGCGGGCATTGGACAAGAGAATGGGAAAAACTTTTCTCACTTAAACAAAATTCAGGTGCAGGTCATTCCACGACACTAGAAAGGAACCTCCTATTCACAAGACTTATTTCTGTTAAGGGTGTCTTAAAATTCTCAGAATTTTTTTTGAATTTCATGTAACTAAACAACATTTTCGCTTTTTGTTTATCATCATGGAGGCACGGTGGCGTAATGGATAACGGCTCAGATAGAGGAATCGAAGAGCCGTGTTCAAATTCCAGTCAAATCCATTACATTCACTTACGTGTTAATAACCTTGGGAAAGGCATGAATCCTCTTCTTCTCCCCCACCACTTATGGTTAAAGATAATAGACTTGGATGGTAACTAGTCTACCGCAAAAAGAAATGGCAACCTACTCCGGGAAAAAATTTGCCTCGTCACTAATGTATCGAAAGATACATGATCGCCTAAGCGTGTATCACGCATGGCACATAACTCAGCAACAAGGAAAATAATATTAATTTTACATAATATAAAAATGTGGTACAAGGCCAAAAGGAGGGATGGGCGAAGGCTGGTCTTTAACCTGTCTTATCTTAAAGTTAACCAGTCACAATTACTGACCTAAACATACCTCAGTATTTTTTACATCATATTCTTACTCACCATTCTTACTACAGCCACCATAATACCTCAGAGTCTCTATGAAGTCCTAACTAGTCCCTATATGTAAAATTTGTCGGGAAAGGGGATAAAATAACAAGGGAAGCTCATCAGAAGTATGTCCGTAAAATTATATATAGAAAAGGCCAAGGGAAGTTACGTTACAGCGGTGAGAAAACAATTAAAACTGAGATTACAGGTCAGGGCCTGTAACATTGCAGATAATTCGTTGGATTTTTACCAAGAATCTCGAGATATAAAACAGAAGCAACAGACCACATATGACAGCAATATTCGATGCACGGACGAATGGTATACTTATAAATTTGAAAGATAGATTCCGGTGAAAGAATTCGGGTGAAGAAGAATTCCAAAAGTCGGTAAAAATGTCAAATATTAGATATTGAAGACCTTTTTGGATGTTAACGACCAGAGCGCTTATTTATTTTCTTGTCTTTACGGCCTTATATCCCTTGAAATTTTTTTCCAAAAAAGTATTTTAATTTCCGTGCAAATGTACTGGTTTTGTTATTCTTTTAACTCAAATCAACAATTAGATATTTAATTGTCGAAACAAATTTACCTTTTGGATGTTAACGAATTGTCGAATTTTAATTGGACTTATTCTCGCTCTTCTTGTAAATTAAAAGAAAAAAAACGCGTTTGAGGGGCCTTAAAATTGTGCGCGAAATGGACATTCACTGCTGAACCATTTCGTCGTTAACATCCAAAAGGTAGGTTTCTTCAATATCTAATTGTTGATTTGAGTAAGCATATACATTTGAATTAGAAAAATTTGAAAAATGGACGAATTGTCTAGCATGGAACGAACTTTCCTCACTGAAATTGGTTTACAATTGCACTAAATTTAAAATTAACTTTCCTTTCATTAGTCCCTGAAATTAGTCCAGTTTATCTTAAATGGAACGCCATTAAGTAGCAAGTCGGGAAATTCAGAATGTCGTACAGTCTGGGTTTTTAAAAGTAGAAATCTGGCAAAACCTTGAATAAGTCTGAGATATTTAACTAATATTTTATATAAAATGTTTATTTTTAGCTATCCATTTATTTAAATTTTTTATCTTTTTTTATTTTCCCACTGTCACTCTTCATGGATATGATTAGTAAATTGACTACAGGAAGCAAATTGGTTTACAATTGCACTAAATTTAAAATTAATCTTGTCTCTGAAATTAGTCCAGTTTATTTAAATGGAACGCCATTACAACTTCTTGTCTGGGTTTTTAAAAGTAGAAGCTCTAAGTCAACATTTGACTAATATTTTGTAAAAACACCTCCATTTATTTAAATTTTTATATTTTTTGTCATGGGAAATCTTTTACAACTTCTTTGTTTCATTCAATTCAAACTCATGTCTGGGGTTTATTTTTCATTCATTCAAACTCATTAGACAAGTTACTCACTGCTTTCCCGTTGCCCTTCCTTTTTTTTTTCACTATATTAAATTCGCCAAGCCCTCACTTTTTAGATTCATTTTACGAGTGACATCTTCCCCGTAAGCACAATATGTTGAATTGGGTCACTTACAATAAGCATTTATACAAATCAGACTTTTAAAAAAATCCATATTTACAAAGAGTGCAGCAATAACCACAAGTAACCTCTCTTCTCTATGTGCCGTCTCCCTTCAAGGCGTAGGCGATCATGGCTCTCCACAACTTTCTATCCCTTGTAGCCCTTTCTGTTATTTCACCTAAACCCTATTTCGCGACACATTTACTCAAGCTCACTAAGTATGTTATGCGTTGTTTTCCTGTCTTTCTTACCTTCAATCTGTCCTGTGAGTATCATATTTTCCAAGCCCTCTTTCCTCATTATATACCCTTGAAATGTTACCTCCCCCTCTCTGTTGTTAAGCATGTTTCCTTTTTGTTACCATTTCTCTAAAACTTCGTCGTTGCTCAGACTGAGATAACTAGCTAGGTAGATAGATAGATAATGAACAGACCAAGATAGATAGATAGATAGATAGATAGATAGATAATGAACAGACCAAGATAGATAGATAGATAGATCGATAGATCGATCGATCGATAGATAGATAGATAGATAGATAGATAATGAACAGACCAAGATAGATAGATAGATCGATATCGATAGATAGATAGATAGATAGATAGATAGATAGATAGTAAAGTTGCTTCTCTATGCCATTTCTATAAATACTTTCATGGTAATTATTTGGATAGATAGATGTGAACAGAATGAGATAGGTAGATAGCTAGATAGATAGACAGTAAAGTTGCTTCTCTATGCCTTTTCTATAAATACTTTCATGGTAATTGATTGGACAGATAGATATGAACAAACTGAGATATATATATATATATATATATATATATAGATAGATAGATAGATAGATAGATAGATAGATAGATAGATATGAACAGACTGAGATAGATATGAATAGATTGAGATAGATAGATAGATAGATAGATAGATAGATAAAAATATTACCAGCAATAAAAATGTCTGCATTAAATAACCCATTGAGGTGTTGATATGCCGTATAACAAAACAAACCAAACCAATATATACTGAGATAGATAAAAAATATTACCAGTGATAAAAATAACCCAATGAGGTTGATATGCCTTAAAACAAACCAAACCAAACCAAACCAAACGAGACCAAATCAAACCAAACCAAACCAGACCAAACCAAACCAGACCAGACCAGACCAGACCAAACCAAACCAGACCAGACCAGACCAGACCAAACCAAACCAAACCAAACCAAACCAAACCAAACCTTCCTTATTGCTTTCCCCTGTTATTTCAACTGTCTCTTCCTGATGTTAATTATAAGTTTTCTGTTTTGCTTTTTCTCAAAAAACCTCGTCGTTGCTTACATGTTAGGTTCATGGTATCCTCATCATCCTTCTGTAGAACCACATTTCTGTTGCTTAAAGTCTCTTCTTCATCTCTGAGGAGATCGTCCAGTATTCACAGGAGGGTTGATATCACATAGCAGTTTAGTACTCTTTTCCTTGTTTCTAACGAAATTTTTCTATTTCTTAATACTCTGCTTAGCTTTTAGAAGGCATCTTTGGCTATCCCAATACGTCTTTGGATCTCAGTGTCACACTTTCCGTCCTCTAAGATATAAAAAAGTGATTGTCCAACATTTACTGCCATATAGGAAGATAGATATCACGTAACAATTCAGTACTCTTTTCCTTGTTTCTAACGAAATTTTTCTATTTCTTAATACTCTGCTTAGCTTTTAGAAGGCTTCTTTGGCTATCCCAATACGTCTTTGGATTTCAGTGTCACACTTTTCATCCACTGTTAAAACATTTCCCAGATACTTAAATTTTCGCACTTGTTTAATTTTGGTATCTCCGATTTGCAATTCGCAATTTGAATTCTCCCTTTTGCTAACAACTATGTATTCTACGTCATCTGTATGTCTTATAAATCCTGGTAGGACTTCTAGTTCTCTTAAAATTACGTCGCGTTCCCTTACTCCCAAAAGAAATGCCTAAAAAATATATATTAGAGTTCCTTATGTGCAAAGTTGATATGATGAATGAAAATTTACTAGACTACTAATACTTGTATGTAACCTAACTCCATAATATTTTAATATCAAATATAGAAAGTCTAATATTCTAAACTGAGTCGTCCTGGGTAAGACGATAAACTACATCCGCGTCCTGGGTATGATGATAAACAACGTCCAACAGCAAGGCCTCTGATCAGGAGGTTTTGAGGAGCGTGGAACCACCTCTTAATTGCTGGTGTTCCCAGGTTCACCCTGACCCGGGTTGGTAGCACCTGTTAGGGTCCCAGCTATGGGTAAATAGTTAACCTGCAAACTCGGGTCAAAACACTATGAAAGTGTACAAATATGGTTTTAATACCAGAAATACTTTGCATAAAAAATATTACCAGAAATGAATTTTTAGCTATACGTTTTTGAAAAAATAATATTACCAGCTATGCGTTTTTGAAAATAATATAACCAGCTATATAGTTTTGAGGAAAAAAATATTACCAGAAATAGATTTTTGACAAAACAAAAATATTACCAGGAAAAAAAAGTTGTCGGCATTAAATGACCCAATGAGGTTGATATACCGTAAAACAAAACAAACAAACCATCTAGTTACTGACCAGATTCGACGTTCGATAATTGTACGTTTGATGGGCCGTAAGCCTGTATGATGGAGTGTATACACATGCCTTGGACAATCAGTAATTGTATCGAGCCGTACTCTATAATACAGTAATTGTACCGAGCCGTACTCGAAATAAATAAAATTTAAGGAATTCAAAGTTATTTCTTTAAAACTATCATTGGTGTTTTCTAAGCTGAACCAAAGGTCTCTTTAGTTTTAGACCGGTGACCGAATTATTCCTCCGTAGGCTCTGAGTGAAGCTTTTAGAGATTTGTATTCATACCCCACCAGTTGTGGAAAAAACAGTATTGTAGATTGGGATCTCTAGCCTTGGCTGGCACCTAGTCTAAGAGATAGGAATTCTCTGAATTAAAAACAGTAGCGATGATAGCGGGAAACTGTTTTACTATCTTTCCAAGAAGTCACGGCAATTCGTAGATAAATAAAATAATATATATGAAGAGCCATGATCGCCTCCGTTCTGAAAAGACATGGTAGAGAAGACAACGGTGGAGAAGACAACATTTTCAAGAAGTCAAGATAACTTGCATATAATAAAGAAAATAATCTGTGGAGATCTATGTCCTGAAGAGACTTCGCGTTAAAAAAAAAAAGTAAATAAATGAAACGAAAATAGAAAATTGGGTTGGCCTTATATTCCTACTCAACATTTACCCTAATTTGGCCTTAACTATTATCAAGAATTATGTCAGAGTAAACGTGTTCAGTTCAATGAAATATGAAACATGTATTCGAAGCTAGTAATCGTCGTCTACAAGCAACGAAGTAAAAAAAAAAATGGAGGAAAAAAAAAAGAAAAGAAAATGAACAGAAACGGAGTGAACTGATTTTCTGACCTCGCCTGTTTTTATTTACCATCTTATGGTCTTTTTTAGCTCAAGGCTTCATGTACACCAAGTTATCTCGATTTCAAATCTGTGAGCTTGTCTGTGCGACGGTTGAGACTAATTGATAAAAAACTGATATGTCGACTTTGACCAAGCGATAAGCATATTTAAATATGATCCTCAGCGTTAGTGTTTTTGAAACGACTTAGAAAGAACTAGATCAGTGATAGACGAAAATAGAAAGAGTAAGACAAGGATGCATTTACTCAACGGATTTATTTAATCTAAAAAGCGAGACATTTTGAAGAGAATGAGAAGACCTGCCGGCATTTGTTAATGACGAACATAATCTTAACAACCTAAGAAACACGGATGACACTATGTTGATGGTAACCTCAGAAAGGAAACCGAACGATCTCTTAGGGTAGTAAAGGAAAACAAAAAGACGCTAGAAAGACGTAATGCATGGTTGTCAGCAAAAGAGACAGGCCAAAATATAAATTACATATTGGGGCCGTCAAAATGAAGCAGGAATAGAAATTGAACTCTCTGGCTGGTGTAGTAGGGAAACGAGACAAAAAAATCGGAAAGCTCATTAGAATATTGAAAGATGCTTTTAAAAGAGAAGGGTGTGGCTGATTGGGGGCAGTGCTTTGTGACCCTCGCTATCAACATTTTCTTTTTTCTGCCTACATATATAGACATTAGAAATTGGAGCACCCTCAGACGGTGTAATGGTTAGCAAGCTTGTCTCGTTAGAACAATTATGACTGAGTAGTGAGTTCGATCCTAACAGGGTGCCCCATACTTACGGCCTTGTGCCACATCTAAGTTACGATTGGAAAATCATTTTGGGCATCTTGAGGGAGTGTAATGGTTAACAAGTTTGTCTCCCTAGAACAATTACGACTGATTAGTGAGTTCGATCCTAACTGAGTGCCTCTTACTTTCGGCCTTGTGCCACATCTAAGCTACGCTTGGAAAATCCCTATATGCGTTACAAATTAAGCTAAGCCCAACTTACTATTAAAGGATGAAAACATTTTGCGGATAGTGACGTCATTCTGGAGTATGTTTTTTTTTTGTCTAAATCCATGAATTTGTTTTGTTTATGATAAGTCTAAAAAAAATAATAAAAAAAAAAAAAAACACTGTTTAAAATACACTTCTTTTTTTGTTTTATCCATAATGTTAAATTCTTCAAAATTTTAACAAGAAAAATTTCAAGAAAAAATTTGCAGCAAAACATTATTGATTTAAGATGGAATAATCTATTATGACATGTCTCTAATTTGTATTTAGATACATTGGATTTATTTTCAATTTTTCTAGTTGAATTGTTCGCTTATATTGCATACGATCCATTATTGTACATAATTGGATTAGAATAAAATTTGTATTTTATATGAATACTATCTTATGAAAATTGAGATGTAGTAGAGTTAGGGGGGCGTATTATAGATTCGGGGGGGGGAGGTCACGAGGCCCTTGCACCGGTCCCTCTTTCCGAGAGTGTTTGCATGCAAATAAAGCTGGAAGAACAAACCAATGACAATGGCAAAGAATGTATAGCTCCATTGCGCATGGATGTCTTCAAGGAGTAAATATTTAATATACTGGTAAGTAAAGGGTGTTCCAATAACTTGGTCCGATTTTAAATGTGAATTAACTTTAAGCGTCTAATGATTTTTTTTCTTTTTCTTTCAGATTTAACAACTTCAACTTTGGCAATTTCAACCATGAAAAGATTAACAATCAAACAACGTGTTAAAGTTTTCAAGAGTGCAATTGGAAAAAATTATTCGTAAATTCAAACAAACTGGTTCGCTGGCAGACGTGAAAACACCATTGCACACTGGTTTACGCCGTTCAACTGAAAAACATTGCTGCAGTGCGCGGGAATATGGCCGAAAATCCAGACCCCGCTATTCACCATCGCGCACAGGAACTGAATCTCTCCACAACAACGTTACATCGTTTCCAATTGCACTCTCTGTTGGTCGATTATGTTAACCAAAAAAATCGAGAAGTACGCGAAATGCATTTCTGTTTGAACGTCCATTGTCCTAATAGGCTTCCATAACTTTAATACAATGTTTGATTGTTAATCTTTACAAGGTTGAAATTGCCAAAGACTTACGTTCTTAAATCTGAAAGAAAAAAAAAATCATTAGACGCTTAAACTTAATTCACATTTTGTTTAGTTCTTTTTTCGTAACAGATTTAATGTTTAGTATAGAGCTTAGAAAAAAAATCGCAGTGTGAGATAGGCAAGAAGTAAGGCATGTAGCAACATCGGCACGGCAAAGGGCACTCCTTTAAAGGCAAGGAAGGGCAAAAATATTTTAAGTCAAGTGATAGCGATTGCTGTATGAGTCGTACGATTTTTGAATCAGGCACGGGCAACGCCGGGTGATGCTGCTAGTTTTCATTAATTGTTATTTTTATGGAAGTAATATTTTACGTTTTAAAGCGTCATAAGTAGTCAGTTAAAAAAATTACACACTTTATAGGACACGAAAATATCTTTGTTATAATTTGACTTCAATGTACAAAATTATTTTATTTCGTTTTAAAAATCTCGAAATTTATTTACTAAATTCGCTTAGTATCGCAGGAAACGAGAGAGAAGTTTTAAAAAAGATTGTGTTGCGTCAATAATCCAAGGAAAGGATCATCCTTCTTTGGAAATCAACATTTGTTAATCCTGGTTTTTAGTCCGGATAAAACATGAAAACTGGCGCCAATGAAGTATTTCAGCAATGAAGTCAGACAAACATTTACAAAACACAAGATCGTAACTAAACCTTTGTCTGGCACAAGGTCATCAAAGGTCGGGAATGGATCGAATTTACTACAGTTGCAGCTAAAATAATAAACTTTGTATATAATATCTGTGTGAGTGATTTAATTAATTCTCATTAAATATAACCTCTTTTTATCGTTTATTTCACTCGGTACCTTTTCGAAGTTTAAATGCAAGGCGTGTTAATAGGATTTATGGCCATTTTGTTTATTTAATTCTCCGCCTCTTTAACCCCTCTCCGCCCGTGTCTAGGATGCCGACTTCCGTCTGCTGGGGGTCGACAAGTACTGGCAGATGTTAAAAAATATTCGTTTTATTGACCTGAAAAGAGTTTAAAAATGAAGACCAAACCCAAAATAAAAATATCTATTAAGCTAAGTCTGCCACAAGGACATGAGTGCTGAGTAACGATTGGCGAATGAAGTGGCTAACACTGGCTTATTAAATGTCTCTCTACAGTAGGCGGCCTAAAAAAAAAACTTTATTAAACGTAGTCTGGTACAAGGTTGCAATAGTGAAGCCGCTTATATGAGAGTCGATATTACTATTTTAATGTGTTGTTTTCATTGAAAACGCAGGGGGATTATGTCTTTCCACAGTATCCTATCTTTAATTGTATCATAAAGAAGAATGTATTATTCTTGTTTATTTACGATTCTTATTTTCACCTTGTATTTCTTCCTTCGTCCTGTGAGTGTCAAATTCTCCAAACCTTCTATCCTCATTATGTAGCAGCTGTCTGATTGTTATGAGTCGTTTCTTTCCTAATTTGTCACATAATGTACGTCTCGTGTAACGATTATCTATGTAGAAAATGCAATCACTAGATGATTGATTTGTTTTTTTACATCTTGTCAACACTTTCCAGGTTATTTAAAGCCATGAACCATTTTTGTAAGAATTTTTTGTTAGATAATAATGATTTTTTAGTTACTAATTAACCCATAGCTGGGGTAGAGGCGGTGGATTTATACCTCTTCGCAAGAGTATTTGTGAGTAAGTAAACATAATGAACCCATCAAGAATTCGAACTCGGCTCTCTGATCCGAGCCATTATCCATTGCACCACCCGCACACCCAAGTTTACAGCACCTGGTATTCCCAAGTGGTCACCCATCTAGGTAATTAGCCGCCTCGACGTTGCTTAACTTTGGGTAATCGTACGGGAACCGATGTTTCAACATGATCTGGACGTAATAATCAGCGTGACAAGTTCCGGTTTAGTTTGTTGCATTCATTTTCGCACACATTTATAAAGGTATGAATATGTGTTGTGGCGTTGTTAGCGCCATAAATAAAGACACAAGAGAGGAATTGAATTAAACTAATATATTAACAGAAAAAATAATACAAACATATACAAACGAGAGTGTTACAGCAAGAATGTTTGGTCCGACTGTCAGAGCTGACTGCTGGGAAATTCCCTCTCCAAAAGGCAGTACCTGCTCCTATTTATAGCTAGGAGTGTCCATGCGTGAGTGGGTAAATTACCATAGATAGATAGGTAGATAGTGTTGTGGCCTTGTTAGGACCAGAGATAAAAAAACAAAGAGAAGAATTGTGTTAAAAAAATTAACAGAAACAGCAATACAAACATATACAAACGAGAGTATTACAGCAAGAATGTTCAGCACGACTGTCAGAGCTGACTGCTGGAAACTTCTCTCTCCAAAAAGCAGTCCCTCTCCTATTAATAGCTGCGAGAGTCCATGCGAGCTTGGGTAAATTACCATGATAGATAGATAGATAGATAGATAGATAGATAGTGTTGTGGCCTTATTAGGACCAGAAATAAAGACACAAAGAGAGGAATTGTTTTAAACAAAGATATTAACAGAAACTAATAAAACGAGAGTGTTACAGCAAGAATGTTCGGTCCAACTGTCAGAACTGACTGCTGGAAACTTCCCTCTCTAAAAGGCAGTACCTGCTCCTATTTATAGCTGGGAAAGCCCATGCGTTCGTGGGTAAATTACCATAACGATATGTCTGTTGTGCCGCCAACTACTTTATGTTATGCTGGTCTCCTTAGCTTTAAGTGCCTCCAAAAACTCTGAATTCCAAACAGTGGAGAAGGCACACTGGTAGTTCTTTATCTTTCCCACAAATGCTTGGCAATTTCCATATATTTAAGTGATCTACACAAAGTCATGGTCACCCACATCCTGAAAATACATGACATTTAAAAAATTCTCTTCACATTGGATTGTCAATCGTCGGTTGAAAATTGCTGTCGCTTCATATCCCGACCTTGCATCTCATCAAAATATTTCACTTTTTTTTAATCTAAAAATAAGTAGATTCTACATATATGTATAATTTAAATATAAGGAATCAATTGCTGATATCCCATGAGGAATACACGGATTGATTCCCGAAGTGTCTGTCTACGAAACTCTGGAGTCGGAATACTGAAGGCAATATCAATCATCAAAGTCATAAGCCTTTTACTTGTATTAATTCTACGTCTCTCTCTCTCTGTCCCTCTCTCTCTCTATATATATATATATATATATATATATATATGGAGGGACGGCGGCGGCTTGAATTGAGGAATCGGTGAGCCGAGTTCGAATTCCAGTCGAATCCATTACATTCACTTACGTGCTAATACCCTTGAGAAAGGCGTGAATCCTCTATCCAAAATAGCAGGACAGAATGGATTCTATAGCTTTGGATGGCAACTGGTCTAGGTGAAGGACAACTCTGAATTCAAAACCTGCGGAGGGTCGTTTAGGGACCCTGTAGCACGTAGTGCACCAGGTATCTGTATCAATTCTACGTCTCTCTATCTTTTTATATTATATATATATATATATATATATATATATATATATATATATATTGTCATCCACGGACAGATTGTTTCGCTGTATCACAGCTAATCAATGTGGCTAGACGTCCGTTTGCCTTTAGCTAGGATAGAAACTCGACTGAATTGGCGTCAGTCGGAGATTCTACCACGGACGGCAGAGATGAAGGTGAATTTAAGCGTATTTATTTTTAGATAAACACAGTTACTGAGAGGTCTTAATTCGCTTTACCGAAGAGTCTTGCTATATTAGCCGTAATAGTCACTGTTTACAAACCCACACTACCTCGAAATAAATTTTTCAAGATTGTGCAAAAGTTGCTATCGAAGACAGAGAGCTTATAGATATCAACAGTGTACATAGGTATCAACACTGCATGGGGTTTTACCTTCAAGCCTAAAAAAGTTTTGTTGTTTTCATTCCGTTTACTAAGTGAATTTTCTGGCCAGCCTAATATATATATATATATATATATATATATATATATATAACCGCTTTCTCAGATCATTGATTAAAAATGGCTTTGAGCAAGTGAAACCTGTGGATACTGGCAAAGAACATCCTTCTTCGAACCTTGAGGACTGGCGCTACAGAATCACAACCAAAGAACTGCCCTAAATAACAAAAACGCATCACTTGAGGACTTTAAACAGCAGCAACAACAAAAATGGATAGCACAATTGAAAATAATGAAATAATCATGATGTTGACTTCCACAAAAAGGTTAGGAAGGACCTTTAGAAAAGCATTTTTCCTGAAAAATTGCTCTAAGAAAAAGATTTCATAAATTTTAAAGGAAACCGTATAATTGACACTTCGGCCAATGAAAGCCAAATGTTTCCTTATAAGGAAACGGCTAATATTACCATCACTATCCTAATGGTAAAATCATTTAAAAATATGATGAATTTTAAACAATTAATTAATATAAAATATTAAAGAAATGCCAATCCTAAAAAAAAAACTATTCAAAATTGAACATGTGTGTATGTATATGTGGGTGTGTTTGCTTGTTTATGTGTATAAATGTACACGTGTGCATACATGTGTGCATACACGTGTGCATACATGTGTGCGTATGGAGGGTGGGATTGAAGGAGAGAGTAGTATGCGTGGGAAGTAGGAATTTGTTGTTGCTTTGGCCGATTTTTCTGCCAATGTTTGATGAGTAAAATTTTGCGAATGTGATATAATCTAATTAAGGGCCGACCCCTAAACAGGAAAATATCCCAGAAGGACATTTAGTGAAAACGGGTTCGGAGTTCATTAAACACCTAATTAGTTCATCGAAAAGTACATCTGAAGAATTATCTCTGCAATGGACACAGCTTCTCTCGCTCCAAGACCAATTTCCTCTTTAGTTCCATTCTATCTCAGCTTCTTTCTTTCTTTCTTTCTTTCTTTCTTTCTTTCTTTCTTTCTTTCTTTTTTACACTATTTCTTCTTTCCTTTTCTATTCATCTATTATCTATCCATTATTATCTATCTATCATCTATCTATCTCAGTATCTATCTATCTATCTATCTATTCATTCATCTATCTATCTATCTATCTATCTCAGTCTGTTCATATCTATCTATCTATCTATCTATCATCTATCTATCTATCTATCTCTATCTAACGAGCTCTTTCATTATCTATCTATCTATCTATCTATCTATCTATCTATCTATCTATCTATCTATCTATCTATCTATCTCAGTCTCTTTTCATCTATCTATCTATCTATCTATCTATCTATCTATCTATCTATCTATCTCAGTTTGTTTCATATCTATCTATCTATCTATCTATCTATCTATCTATCTATCTATCTATCTTTCTCAGCCTGTTTATATCTATCTATCTATCTATCTATCTATCTATCTATCTATCTATCTTTCTCAGCCTGTTTATATCATTCATCTATCTATCTATCTATTCATCTATCTATCTATCTATCTATCTATCTATATTTCTCAGCCTGTTTATATCTATCTATTATCTATCTATCTATCTATCTATCTATCTATCTATCAGCCTGTTTATATCTATCTATTCATCTATCTATCTATCTATCTATCTATCCATCTATGTTCGTGTCCACAGTATCTGTAATGTCCGAAACATTAAGTTTGGTTTGCTTTGTTTTGTTTGACGGCATATCAACACCTCTATGGGTTATTTAATGCCGACAAAATTTTTATTGCTGGTAATGTTTTTCTTCAAAAATCTATTTCTGGGAATATTTTTCCTTGAAGAAATCTATAGCTGGTCATATTTTTTTTTTCCAAAGACTGTATAGCTGTTTGTATTTCTGGTATTTTTTTTAAGTATTGCTGATAATTTTTCCTTCAAAAATAGTTGCCTGTAATAATTTTTTTTATTACAAAGTATTTCTGGTATTAAAACCTATTTTTACACAAGTTTGGGTATTAACTATTTGCCCATAGCTGGGATCCTAACAGGTGCTACCACCCCGTGTTAAGGTGGACCTGGTAACACCAGCAGTTAAGAGGTGCTTCCACGCTCCTCAAAACCTCCTGATCAGAGGCCTTGCTGTTGGACGTAGTTTATCGTCATACCTAGGACGCAGACGTAGTTTATTGTCATACCCAGGACGTGGATGTAGTTTATTGTCATACCCAGGACGCGGATGAAGTTTATCGTCATACCCTGTCTTGTTAAACATCGCGTATGACGCACACACAATGTCTACCGGCCTAGGCATTCGAGAATCTTAATAAAGAAAAATAAAGAAAATATATATATATATATATATATATATATATATATATATTTATATATAAATTTCAAATATGTTATATCCGTAAAAGGATCATATTATTAAAGACAAAGGGAAAACTTATCATGCACGGCGCCTTTCGTCCTCTGGGGGACTTTATCAAGGTAAATGCAATATTTATGAACCTTGCTACACCTCTACTCCCATTCAAAAGAATAGGGATGGGTATGGAAGTAGCTTCAATATACTGGGTATTTACTCTGTCACCTCACTAAGACGACACAAGGTCAGTTTTTAATGTGGGGAACCCGAGCGCGTACACCCGGGCTAGGAACAAAAATTGCTCGTCCGCAGCCCCTACAACTGTCCGTTGTGCTGGCCTCTGGTGCAATAATTAAATTAAAGTACCTTTGAAAATGAAACAGAACTAGGTACTTTAATTTGATTTAATTTCTATAATTGAATTAGAAGTTTTTAGCTTCTTTTTTTGAAACATGGTATTTCCTGTGTAGCGATGGAATCATATTTTTTTTTAAAAATAATTATAATCTAGGCTCTACTTGTGTATTGAGCACTGTTTTATTAAAAATAAAAACAAAAATAATAAAGAACTTCGGATCATCAATCTAACGGTTCTTTCCTATTTTATCAATATATTTGCACACACACACACACACACACACACACACACACACACACACACACACACACACACACACACACACATATATATATATAAAGTACCAAACAGATGATAGAGTTTATTCCAAGGAGTTCTTTTTTTTAATATAAATATATTAAAAAGTAAAATCCATGATGAATAATAAGGAAAAGATTTAAATATTTATCATTTATTTCTTTATAAATTTATTTCAAACACACATATATATATATATATATATATATATATATATATATATATATATATATATAGATAGATAGATAGATAGATAGTCAACACTCAGAGGCGACAGACTGTTTCATGCTAGACGCAATCGTCACCTCTGAGTGTTGACTTCAATGTTCACTTTTATATTTATATTTACATTCCCTCCATTAGAATGTCTGACGCTCAACTTCTCGAGAGCAACTCTCTGCGGCTTCTCGTTCTCACGTTGACTGCTGACCTGAGATGGAATAAATACGTCGAGTCAATTGCCTCGTCCACTGCAAGGAAATTTAGCTCCCTGAGCCGCGCTAGGAAGTTTTTCTCCCCTGAGTCGATCCTCCAGATATACAAATCCACAATTCGCCCTTGCATGGAGTATTGCTGCCATATATGGTCTGGCGCCCCTTCTGTTTGCCTCGGGGTTCTTGATAGGCTCCAGAAGCGGATATGCAATATGGTTGGCTCTGCCCTGGCGTCTCGTCTACAGTCACTTTCTCACAGACGCACCGTCGCCTCCCTCTGTCTGTTCTATAAATACTTTCATGGAAATT